GATTTTTCATGAGAATGCATTTTCACTTAGGTCAGGAAAAATTTAGTTTTACTCATTCTTATGATTAAGGATTTTGTCTCAGGATTGCTAACAAAAACTGAAATGAAACTGAATGAAATTTGGTACCAAATGTATATCTCCTACATGTTATTTACATCCAAAATCTATCATAAGATAAGAAAAATAAATTGTGGCCTTCTGCCTTCTTACATGAAAGTGTTTATGTCTCGAACTTTAGATTGATTCTGAGAATTTTGGTAATGATTTCAAGACAAAAGTTGCTGTTGCTGCTGTTTTTAAGAATTGGTAATGTTTCCTCTCAGAATAAGTTTTTCTTTCTCTTCTTTCTTTTCTTCTTTTGAAACTAGGGATTAAGTATTGTTTTTAAGACTCTCTCAAGAACAAAACATATATACATTTTGCCCAAGTTATAAAATTCTTTGGTCTGGATAAAATATATATTTATACTTTTAAGTAAAAAGCATTATTTTATTCTTCATTACATGAATAAAGATCATTGACACAACAGCTCCATTCATTAAGGAAAATTCCTCCTTTCCACTATACATAGTAGTGGTAAAAGGTTAGCAAGAAGATTGTTGTAGCTCTCTTGATCATATAAAAGTTTCCTAGTTTCAATGAGGTGGACGGACTTCTCCTTAAAAAACACATCATATAATCCAAGTTTTGATACTAGAAATAATACATATAACAGTAAAAAAGGATCCTGAGAACAAGAGTCATGACATCTATGAATTTATAATAGAATCCAGTGATGGAAGTATAAATAGCTGGAACCTAAGAAGTGTTTGAATGCACTAAATTCCTATAAGGTAATACTAATTTTTCAGTACCTAGAAGCACAAATTAAAATGTTGGTGTGGTCAAAGTCCTTAATACCAAGAGATTTGTTGGAATGACTGTCTCCTTACAGCCTGTAAGTACAGTACTTTTCTCCTTTTACTGAGATATTTACAATGCTCACTGATAGAAGCAGGCATTATTACCTGGGTAGATCCTACAAATGGCATTCCTTCACCAACAACTAGCATATTATGCCCCCATGTTCCTACCTCAATGCTTTTTACCTCATCCACCAAACAATGCCCCAAAATGAATTAGAGCCTCATTCTATCAAATATTACTTTGAAATTTGAAAATTCACTCACTAGAAATTTCTATATTTCTCAGAAAATTAGAGTAAGTGCTAAAAATCACAGTAGCTATTGTAGGTCTTAACATAAAGTTAATGTTGGATCCTAAAAATCAAAACTCTAGATTCTAGCTGAGTATTCTCAAGTTACCTTTATTAAGTAATGAGAATGTGAAGTATATGTGGCAGAATACAAATCAGAACCACACTATAACAGCTTGGTGAAGGTTCTACATCAGAATATATTTGTGAAATAAATATATAAGTAACCCTGACAACTGTTTATGAAAACTTATCTAATAGCTGTTTTATTACCTAGGAATCGTCAAAATCAAGAAAATAGTCAATGTATAACTTTCACATGAAATACATTAACTATTAAACTAGTCAGTTGAAAAGTAATAGAAGTATTCATTAATAAACACAATTACCCATAAGATACAAAACAATAATTTGCAAAAAATTTTAAAATAGATTATGGATATGTAAGTTTTAGATCCTGCTGAGAGCAAGAAGACAAAGAAGTAATATCCTGTGAACATTTCCAGAGGTACTCTGACCAAAGACTAGTCATCCCACATATAATGCTCACAGAAGAGTGGTGTAGCCTAAGGAAAATACACTAATTAAAAATAAGGGTGATAGCCAGGTGTGCACCCCTATAATCCCAGCACTTGGGGGCTGTGACAGGTAGATTGTGAGTTTGAGGGCATCATAGGCTACATGGAGTTAAGGCCAACCTGGATTACTGAGACCCTGTCTAAAAAAGGCTGATAGAATTTGCCAGCCTGCTTTTAAGCCTTTAGTCTTTAATAGCTATTCTTTGTAGACTTGCCTGATCGGAATTTCATTTCTGTAGCTCAGGAGATGTGAAATTCACATTTCTGCACCAGGTAGAAAATTCTGGATCACACTAGATATATCTAATCAATGTTCTTTAGGGTATAGGTGCATGCCAAAATAATTTTAACCTCAAATTAACTTCCTGCCTAAACATACCTACTTAAATATATATGTATATATCAATATCCACATATACGTGTGTGTGTGTGTGTGTGTATATAAAGAGAGACAGACACACACACACACACACACACACAGATTGAATACAAAGTTGAGGGAAAAGTAGTATTCTTGAGAGAAAATTGCATGGCAGTAAGTGCCAGCTTTTCACTTTTGTATTTTTAACCAAGTTACAATATTATTTAGGAAAGGATATCTGATCATATTGCAAGATAAATTTTCATTACAATAAATTCAACTCAAACATAATAAAACATTTTAAAAATCTGAAATATATCATAAAACACCAAATTTTAAAATATTTTTAAAGTTTTCCTTTAATTTTCTGTGCAAGATTTAAGATATATTGTTAAGAAGGTAAACATTGGAATTGAATATATTTGAATTCAAATGTACAGATTTTATTTTTTAACTCAAATCTTTTAAGCATTTAACAATTTGACTAAGTCTCTTACCAGTCCCAAACTAGTATCTCTAACTTTTCCTCAAGAAGTTTATTTTTATCTGTTTACTTTTAAATAATTAGTAAATCAGTAGAACATGCTTTTATAGACTATTCGTGATTGTGAACTAATGGATTGTATTCTAAATAGAAAATGCCAACATGAAAAATGGTTATTTGTTGAATGCAAATAATAATTACTTTCAGTACTCAACTAAATACTGCAAATTAACTACAAGACATAGTATGAAGGACACAAAGCCACCATTAAACAATATTTATTTAATATATTTTTATGTTAAACTATCCAGTGGGGAACCCAATAGGCAGGTACAATGTTAGCAACAGAAACATTAATATAAAAATGGGGGCCCTGGTCTATATGTTTCACTTCCCCCTTCAGTGTTCTTAACTAAGGTCAGTGAATGATTTAATAAATGTGTCACTATTATGAATTCCTTATGTTTAACTTATAAGTGGAATAAATCCAAACTCACATTCTCTTTCTTACAGCCAGTGTACTCAATCTATATAATTGTAGAGAAAAACTGTAAGAATAAATCAGTTTTATAAAGTTAGTCACAATAATTTTATTTTATATTTTTATGATATGGTTGCTTGCATTGAAGAAAGCTATAGAAAATGACTGAAAGACCTACTGAAGTGTAACTGATGGTCTTTTCCACCCTAAGCACAGAGGAAGGGTGTTCTTTGATGTATGCCTACTATTTGTGGTTTGTTACTATTTCTGACTCTGACTCTTAGGTTCATTACCTTTGCTCTGAGCCACACAAAAGTTTAAATTACATTTTTGCTAGAGGTTTTAAAGAAGATGCATATCTATAGTTTAATTAAGGCTATTACTCCTTTTGCTATGATTAAGGATAAGAATTCAAAAATTATGTATCATAATGTTAAGTGTTATCCATTATACTGTCACATTTACATAAGAACCACTTCAACAGCTCAGCTAATCTGTGTATATATTTAGCCTCTACTGTCAGAGGCTTTTAAAAAAGAAAATTCAAATATAAAATTTAATAGAAACTTTTAAACTTGTTAAATGACACTGACCATAAATATTCCAACAGCTCTTGAACAAGTAAACTAAAGTGATATAATAATAAAATTGTTTAAGTCCATATACACCTTAATTAGAATGAGTAATCTTCAAGGAAAATGTTACTTTATAGAAAAAAATAATTAATACAGAAAAAAATAATTTTCCAATTATCACTTTTATGTTCTTGGCTTTAAATTAGTCATAACAAATACTTTAAGTCAATATGACATTTTTCTTTAAAAATACGTGCAGCAGGGGCCGGAGATTTAGCTCAGTGGTTGTGGCGCCTGCCTTGCAAGTGCAAGGTCCCAAGTTCGATCCTCCATACCAAAAAAAAAAAAAAAAATACGTGCAGCAAACTGTAACCATTTTAACCTTTTTTAAAAAACCGGTCCCCAAGCTGCATAGAAAATTTAAGAAATCAAAATAAATCATGAACTAAGTTAAAATTCAAACTGGCAGAACACTTTGGCAAAAAAAGCATCCATAGCTTCCTCTTATAGGTATCCAAATAGATTGTTTTTACGTATACATAAGGGTAAAGTAAGGGTTAAAACAAAACTAGATCATAGTGAAATTATATCTGCTTGCCTTCTTCATAGGCTGGTATTATTTCCAGTTCACCAGGTTTACTTAACCGAGGTATTAAATGGACCCCGTTTCTGCTTCCTCTCCTTTTTAGCGCTTCTGACTGGAAGAAGTCTTTCCGAAGAAGGACAGCTTTGTTTAGCCAACCGAGCAAAGAACCCAAACAGTATACCCGGCAACTTCTAACCGCTCAGTTGTGCTCTCACAATCACATCCCTCACTCAGGAAAAATGCTGATTTTAAAAACGTCCCATTTTAATAACGTGTCTTAGAAGATACTCCCCACCTGGATTTGGAATGAAAGCGGATGTGCAAAGGGTCCTGTGAGCCTAATTCTCCACCAGAAGTTCCCAGGAGCTGGCAGTTAGGGTCACCTGCAAAGTCGCCGCGGGGCACCCAGACGCGCGAAGCCTAGAGCAACTGGCACCTTGTGTGTGTGCGCGTGCGTGTGTGTGTGCGAGTGAGCTAGGACATCTTTCCACCTCACGCCCCCTAATCCTCCTCTATCCACCCCAGGACCCTAAATCCTCTCCTCTTTACCCCGCGCACCTAAATCCTCCTACGAGGCCCTCAAACCCTCTCCTACCTCACCCATCCCTAATTCCTCCTCCTCCCTTCCCCAGCTTGGTCCCCCTCTCGGCCGGTCTCCCATGATCTCTAAAACTCGCTCTATTCCCTTAAAATAACTCCCCTCACGTGCCTACCGCGGACTTCGGACCCCCAACACTCACGAGAAGAATGGATCATCCTCAAAGCTGCTGCTCAGCATCCTGAACATTTTGGCTCTGTGACGGGCAGCGGCGGACGCGGACAGATTGGAAAACGGTGTAACGCCGCGGCCGCCACAGAGCCAACCTCCCAGCACCTTCGACGCTGCTACCCAACGGCCGCGAAGGCGAGGCCTGCCGGGAAAAGCGGTGCGGGGAGCGAACGGCCTTCTCATTGGACGTTGGTCCCTTGGCGTCACCAATGGAGGCGGGGAACAGTGCGCCGCTGCCCTGGCAACTGTGATCAACACACTGCAGGCCACAAGTTTGGTCTCTGTCCTGCAGTGCAACCTTTCACCAAGCCTCCTAAGGGACGGGATAGTTTGCTGTCTGAGCTACAGGAACCAAAACATTAGACCACCCTCTCTGTGACCTTGGACAAATCGCCCTCAGCCTTGATCTCCTGGTCTCTTTTCAGGAAAATGGAGGTGTATCAATATTTGGACTAGTTGACAAAGAAAGTCTCATCACCATATTCTGTAACCCACAGGAATGAGTTATATATCTGCAACTTCACTAGTAGCTGGTCAAATAATGAGAAAAATGTGCAAAATTTTTTGAGTGCAGTTTAAAAGTAGTGTACTCAGTTCTTCAAGGAAACTATTAAAGTTCAACAAACATATTTGCCTTTGGCGAGTATAAAAACCCCAAGCAGTGTTTTCCAAAGTGGAAAACGCTTAAGCAACATGTGAGCGTGGGATCAAAAGATAATGAAAAAATTACTCTCTCTTTTGGTTCTCTTTCCATGTCTACTTCAAAGATCACGCCTCACTTTGAGGTTGATAAATCTTTTTTTTTTTTGAGACTGATAAATTTTTAACATCTCCTTAACCTAACAGAGAATGTGATTTAGGCACAAGCCCTGAAGCAAGCAGCCGTATCCAACTAAAAGTCCATTACTATATATTTTGTTTTCATTATATTTATAAGGGAGTTTTTTTATGGAAAGGAAATTGGATTTAACTTTAAAGCAGCACTATATATCAATAGCTATACTTAAAATGAAAGTGAAAATTGAGCTAACTTAAAGAAATGGTGCACGTTGGATCAGCATGCAGTGGTGATGGGGGGAATATTATGACAGTGGTACTCAGATTACTGAATTTTGGAAAACACTGATGTGCTGCCTTCCAGGAGCCTAGAGACAGGCAGAGAAGACAGAAGAAACAGGAGATTAAAGAAGAGTGACAAGGGTGTGAGAAGAGAGAAAATGTACCTTGCATGTCTACCCTTACTTTAGTGGGCTCCCTCCATTCTCTAAGGGGCTGTCTTGAGATAAAGGGACATCCATGGCACATCAGGTTGTGAGGGCACCGTGGGTTCAGTCCACAGACGTGGCCCTCTGCCAAGGTGAAGAAGCATGCAGGGACTGATATGGAGGTGGCAGGAGTACTCAGGAGTTATTTTGGGAGCTGGAAATTTAATCCTTTGGACCTTTTATGCCCTACCTTTAGCCAAGTTCTCAGCAGCCTCCTTAAAACTGGTGACATAAAACTGGACAGACTCAAAGCCTAAGATAAGATGGCACAACCCCTTCCAAGGAATATTTTCTTTTCCTCTGGCCTTAGAATGTAGCTCAAAAGCATATGCATAATTAGAAAAATTCTAAAATAATATCAAGACAAAAAATTATTTTACAAGTCCTGAAATTATTTTCTGTTTGAAATGTACAAGTACAAGATATTAAGGAGGACAATCCACTGGACGCCCCCCACCCTGCTCCTCTGTACAGCCACCTGGTTCCACACTACAAAGACACAGAGGACACTGGACCACCAGACCACGGTACTGGGTTCTGCTGTTCCTGGCCCAGAGGTAGGGGCTTCTGAGCTGCCGTCCCACTGCTCCTGGCCCAGAGGAAGGGGCTTCCGGGCCACCATCCCTACTGCCACTCCCGGCCCCTGTCCCACCTCGCCCAGCTCAGAGGAGGTAATCCCCGTGGGCGCCAACAGCACCCCCTTGCCCCCCCCCCCAGTCGAAATGAGAAAACACGTACATAAGTCTCAAAACCACACTTCCAGATCACCTACAGCAACTCCAAATGGAAATGAGATGGAACACTCTGATCATCAACCACCTGGACCCACTGAACTGGCAACAAAAGGGGGTCTGGATTTACAAAGACTTTATTTCCATTTTTTCCATTTCTCAGCATTTTTCCTTTCCCTTCTTTCCTTTCCCCTGCCCCTCCCACTACCCCTACCCCT